TGGAGAAATGAAAAAAAATATTAAAAAAGCCTAATAATATTTTTCGTTGTGGAATAAGATCAATATATGACACGTAAGAAACAAAAGCATAATACAGTAATATCTCCCTAACTGGCGCTCAGATTTTGCACAAAAATGGACAATTTGAAAAGTGGAGATACGATTATTCGAGCCTTGCAGCTCGTTTTTATAGTTGTTGAAAATTCGTAACAATAAAAATGAACCATTTTTGTAGACAATCTGAGCGTCAATTAGAGAGACATTACTGTACTTCGTTCATCCTTGTTGTACACTTTAAAGCAACAAATTCTATATCACTGGCACCGTCGCATTTCGAAGAAATATATTTCGCAGCCTAACCGGGCAAAGACGATATTTAAGATCCGATCTTGAAATATGCGCAAGGATTAAATTCTCTTTAATGTTCATACAGTTTCCTATTTCATCTGCTTGTTGCCGTTGCAACTGCGCAGGCCTCGCAGCCTAATGGCAATGTCATGACTCAGCGCATATCTGATTCTAATATCATGATCGTAACACCGTGAATTAGTACAGGGATTAGGAATCCGGCTAATCTAACTAGTTCATTAATTAGTCCTCGATCCGGCCATAGATATCACGCGATCCCAGATCTAATCTGATAAAAGCGGCGTGTACACAACTGCGAATCGAATGGAGTGGACATTCCCGGTCCCCCGGTTCACCGAGATATCCGTAAACGATGTATAGTACAAGTATGCCGGGCAAGATTGTAACGTTGCTTACCGCAGTTATGAATTATTGCACGGCCCAAGGAATCCTTTCAACCTGTCGGGTATTAATGTCTTTGGCGTGGCCGCAGAACTAACGCGGAAAGATACGTTCCGTCATGTTTTCTATGCGTCGCTGTTATTAAATCAGATCGGATCTCTCGGCCGAATCTGTCCTAGTAATGTACACGTTGTTTATGGAGCGTCCGTTTATGTCGCGAATTAGTAATGTGTCCTGTTAGTTTATGGTTCGGATAGAGACATCAGAACGAGGAACTAGTTTGACAACGGCGATGTCGATGAACCAGGAACGAAATGCTTTTTGTGATTCCGAGCTGATCGGAGTCTTCGGGTCCAATCGGGTCCAATGGGTTCTGTCTTCAGGTTCAATCTTCAGGTTCAGTCTTCGGGTTCAGTATTTAAGTTCTGTTTTTAAGTTCAGTCTTTAGGTTCAGCTTTTAAGTTCAGTATTTAGGCTCAGTATTCAGGTACAATCTTCAAGCTCAGTCTTCAGGTTCAGGCTCAATCTTTAGGCTCAGCCTCCAGTCTCAGTATTTAGATTATATCTTTAGGTTCAGTCTTTAGGCTCAGTCTTCAGGTTCAGGCTCAGTCTTCAGGCTCAGCCTCCAGACTCAGTATTTAGGTTATGTCTTTAGGTTCAGTTTTTAAATTCAGTCTTTAGATTCAGTATTTAGGTTCAGTATTCAGGCTCAGTATTCAGGTTCCGGCTCAATCTTCAGGCTCAGCCTCCAGACTCAGTATTTAGGTTATGTCTTTAGGTTCAGTTTTTAAGTTTAGTTTTTAGGTTTAGTATTTAGGTTCAGTATTCTGGCTCAGTATTCAGGTTCAGGCTCAGCCTCCAGACTCAGGATTTAAGTTATGTCTTTAGGTTCAGTTTTTTAAGTTCAGTCTTTAGGTTCAGTCTTCAGGTTCAGTATTTAAGTTCTGTTTTTCAGTTCAGTCTTTAGATTCAGTCTTCAGGTTCAGTTTTTAAGTTCAGTCTTTAGCTTGAGTATTCAGGGTCAGTCTTCAGGTTCAGGCTCAATCGCCAGGCTCAGCCTCCAGACTCAGTATTTAGGTTATGTCTTTAGGTTCAGTTTTTTAAGTTCAGTCTTTAGGTTTAGTCTTCAGGTTCAGTATTTAAGTTCTGTTTCTAAGTTCAGTCTTCAGGTTCGGTTTTTAAGTTCAGTCTTTAGGTTCAGTATTCAGGCTCAGTATTCAGGTTCAGGCTCAATCTTCAGGCTCAGGCTCTACACTCAGTATTTAGGTTATGCCATTAGGTTCAGTTTTTAAGTTCAGTCTTTAGGTTCAGTCTTTAGGTTCAGTATTTAGGTTCAGTATTCAGGCTCAGTCTTCAGGTTCAGGCTCAATCTTCAGGCTCAGAATTTAGGTTAGGTCTTTAGGTTCAGTTTTTAAGTTCAGTCTTCAGTTTCATTATTTAGGTTCAGTATTCGGGTTCAGTCTTCAGGCTCAGTCTTCAGGCTCAGTCTTCAGGTTCAGTTTCCAGATTGGGTCTTCAAGTTTAGTCTTTAGATTCAGTCTTCAAGTTCACACTTCAGAGTTTCAAATATTCTCAGCCTCGTTTAAGATACCAAACTAGTTTCGAAAGCGGAAACTTTGGACAGCGTGAACAAGGTGCTAATTGCCCGCAGTCATAAGACTCTTTATTTGCTCAGCTGCTGAATATAAACCCAACAATATGGTCCTCCAATATTAGCACCCTTTCGCGTCTATATTTATCATCATAAGTTTAAGAACTCTACGAATCGTGACAAGATTAACTAAATTTAACGCTACCGAGTAAAAATGATCGAAGAGATTATAGAACGATTTGTCAGCAAGATGACTAATGCTTCAATTAGCAATTTTGAGAAAGGTGTCGATCTCTTTAGTCTCTTACTAACCAACACTTT